GCTACTTGGTCCCAATGTACTTTCCCATTGGGAACCTGCTAGCACTAAGTTGCTAACTGGTTAGCAGGATGTTTCCGACAAACCGGCCACAACCAAACTTGCTTGCAAACCTTCCACCACAACAATCCAACCATTTCCATACGACTTTAATTGAGGGGCTTGTTATATTGTAAAACTCCTTTATCTGACACAACTGAATAAAATCCTCCATATTCTGTGTGGCTCTGTGGAAGTGAAACTCCAGCCTTATTCTGGCTTTAATGTTGCACTTTCACAGATCCACAGCATCAAGGTGAGGTCCCTCCTGCAGTCTGTCTCTGCGGGACAGGTAAACGGCCATCTTTCCTTTACAGATTAAAAAATGTTAGAGCTGGGGCTTTTGCTTAGAGGAAGAAACATTTTAGAAAATGAGAGGAAGGGGCATGGCAGCGTAATCTAAACAGATCCTTGCATGCAATGTGGCACAGCCTCACTGCCCCTCCCCCTACCACCAACCCTCCTTTCCTCCTGGCTCATCCTCTCACTCCGCCCGTCTCAGTAGGCCAGGGAGGACGCGAGTAGCTGCGACGCTCTAACACAGATGGGTGGAGAACCACGGGAGCGGAGTGGGATCCCCGGCTGTTTGGTTCCTCTGCTTTGCCACGGTTTGGCACCTGATCGTCCTCTTCCCTCTTATTCTAAGGCAGGAGGCTGGAGTGTCGTGCTGCTGTGGAGGCAGGGAGCCCGGCTGAGGCACATGCACCATCCGTTGGGTTAATCCTCCTTCAGTGGGATCACGGTGAAGCCGCTGCATTCATGCGTTAATCCAATCTCTTCCCTGTGAAAACACGGAGATGGTGATGATGGTGATGATGGTGAAAGGGTGCAGAAGGAGGGGAAACGGTAGCGAAGCAGCAGTGGGATGTTTGAACTTTCTGGGCAGTGGAAGTGTGTTCTGGGACTAACCTTTACTGGGTCAGGAAGCTGGGATCAGGCTCACAGCTCAGTCACACTCTCACTCCATGTTTTACTACTTTTTAAATTGATCTGAAGCAGACACACACAAGGCGTTTTAGTGCAAATCTGAACTCTGCTGATTCACAATGAGTTCCTGTTGGAGGAATCAGGTAGGTTAGCAGGAGTCACACCTCCGGGAGAGAAGTTTGTTTGCTTTTTCCTCACATGTCATCCTGTGTTTGTGTTCAGGAGGAACAGGCTGCCAAGCTAAAAGCGGAGAATATCCGGGTGGCTTTGGAGAAGATCAAGGAGGCGCAGGTGAAGAAGGTGAGTCAGCTTCACACACATGCTGAGGGTATTTAGATTTGGAGTTTGTGGCTGTATGTGTGTGTGAGCGGCACGTGTCCGGAGCACCAGGCTTTCTGGGTCGGGTTAGTGTTACGCTGCATTTAAGAGCTCTAGTCAATAACAGCTGGAGTCACCAGACTCAACGCAGCACTCAGCATAATAAAAGCCCAATCCCAGAGAGGCTGGATTAACAAACTGGAATCACCGGACTACAGCGTCTTCAGTGTGTGTGTGGGAAAGTGTCGCATTAATCCTGCTCAGACCTCTCAGATGTTTTCACAGGGTTTCCTTTCAGAACAAACCCAGTTTGGTACTGGTTCTACTCTGAGTTTCCCCCTCATCAATCTGATGTAATGCTGTTGCTTTATTAATGATTCTAAGGTTTTTAATAGATTTATAGTTTTTCTTTTCTTTTTAGAACAAATAATTTCAAGTGTTTCTCAAATCTGACAACTTCATGCAAAAGTTTATTTTGAATTTCCTCTACAAAGAGGAAAACACAGCAGATGCATAATGTGCAGTAAAGCGACCATGCATGCCGCTTTACACTAGATGCATAATACACTGCACCTAATTAAGGTTAAGGTTCTAATCTTAGACATATATAAGATCCTGATTGGCAGGGAAGAAACAAAAATGTTTACAAATGTAGCAGTTTAATATAATTATATCAGAAATATTGGAGGCATTAATGTTTACGTTCATAAGGAGGTTAAGATCTTAAGGTCTGACTGTGCAGGCGACACACAGGGTATAGCTACAAATCTATGCTGTTATGCTACGTTCGCACCGCTAGCAGCAGGAGCATCAAAAAAGTGAGTTCTGCTTCATTTTTGATGCCTGTACAAGTTTAGTTCTGACGAGCGGCTGAAGCATCTTTGCTGCTCCAGCTGAGCGGTGGAAAAGTGGGTCTGATGCGCGTTGGGAGGAGCTACCCCATCCTTTCTTTGCCTGTAACCATGGCAGCTATATTTGCTGCGATCAGTGAGTAAAAAGTATTTTTAATATGTTTTTAAGTGGAAAAAGTCCACCAGAAAACTTCATCTGTGCAGTCAGTTCATCCAGATTACCATCCTGCCTTCAAATATTATTTTGCTGTCAGTTCAGTTTATTTCTATAGC